TGAGGTCAAAATCTTTTGGGTCTGTAATTTTGATTTATGTTGTTAGACCCATCCCAGGCAGCATTAGTCCTCCTTTCTGTCTGCGTCCACAGGACCTGACTACATGTGTGCACAGCATGTGCTTTCACTAGAGCATCAGTGCAGCTGTGTTGTGATAACTTGTACACATGAATCTCCCTTCTTCATCCTACAGCCTGTCTTGTGCGCCTCTAGTGTAGGAGGGGCTCAGGACATACATTAAGAGACATGCAGTTTTACAGCTGTGGTCCCTAATGAAACACGCGTAGGTCAGCTTTTTAGAAATGTGCCTACTGGTGCCCTGCCTCTGGAGGTTGTGATTCACTATCTGGGATGGAACCTTGGCCTTTTTTTTTTTTCTTCCTTTAAATCTTTGTAGATGATTATGTATCGCTGGTTAAGAAAAAGAAGAAAAATACTGGATTTAGAAGAATCAAGCCAAGACAAACCAGAAATAATTTTTTTATAAAAATGTTAATAAAGAAATAAATTTATTGACTCATTCCTTCAGATAGCAATCTCTCTCATTTCAAAAGTGAGTGTTTCATAATTTGAACTGTATTCACTCACTCACCAAGTGCTGGAGAGAAAGGGTGGTTCAGATGTGGCACTCTGCAGCCAGCCCACGGCAGCGGAGATGGGCATGTGCTCTGAGTCAGCTAGCCAGGCTGATTTTAGGTCTGGCTCTGCACTCTCCCTAGCTGTGTGGCCTTGAGCAAGGCAACTTCTCTGTGCCTTAGTCTCCACATCTGAAAAAGGGGATCCTAGTAGTGTCTGCCTACTTAGGTTGTCATGATGATTTAGTTACCTGCAGAGTGCTTGGAGCGGTGCCTGGCAGAGAGCAAGTGCGTTATAAGAGCTTGTTGAATAAATAAAATGCTTACATTGTCAGGTACTGAGGATTCAGTGATGCACTTGATAGGTGAGGTCTGTGTACCACTGGATATTTAGATGATAACAGCTGACATTGGAGCCAGTGCTAATGCCCTGTACTAAATACTCTGCGTGCATTGGCTCTTCTGGTACCCTGACGAGCCTGAGGTGTGAGCACCCCCTCGATTTCACAGGTGCCTAAACCCAGGGCATGGCGGTTGCTGCTGGCCCAAGATCACACAGCTGGTAAGTGGTAGAGGAGTCTGTCATGGAACGAGATCTCTTACTCAGAAGCAGGCGTGCTTCCCAGAGCTGCACTTGTGTTAGAGGGTGGAAGTTCTACAAGGTGGAGTATTTTGAAGGAATAATCCAAAGTTACTCCTTTTTAAGAGCTCTGGAGAAGTGATGGAGTTCACATCTGAGCGCAGGACTGCTAGCGATTAGCAGTTGCCAGCAGGCCAGGGAGCTGGCTTTTGAGAGGGTCGCCCCTCAAATTACTGCAAACATTTTACCTAATTTGAGAAGGATTTTTTTTAACCAACTGCTACTGTTACAGAATTAAAAAAAAAAAATTCTGACCTTTAGCATACTTACATTTCTCTTACAATTTTATGTTCTTATGCTCTTGTAGATATTTTTCTCTTGACCAAAATTGGCTTCTGGGGGTAAGTTTCGTGTTTTAATAATTGAAAATTTCTGGGCTTCTCCAGAATACATGTGGGCATCTAGTGCTGCTAAAACTTATTTTAAATTTTAGTAATACTTCCTTGTTTTTCTTTGAAAGCTCAGACCCTCAGCCTATTGACTAAATGAAAAAATTGTATGATTGAAAAGTTGTTTAATCTGAAATGTTTCCTAATGAAGTGCTGTGAGTCAGTAGAAAGTTTTTTTTCATTGATGTTTTAATAGTTTATAATGCTGTGAAATTTTTGGTTGTACATTTTTGTCCGTCACCATATATATGTCTCCCTTTACCCCTTGTGCCCACTCCCTACCCCCATTGCCCCTGGTAACCACAATACAGTTTTCTCTGTCTGTGTGTTGGTTTATATTCCACATATGAGTGAGATCCTACAATGTTTGTCTTTCTGGCTTATTTCACTTAACATAATATCCTTCAGGCCCATCTGTGTTGTTGCAAATGGGACGATTTTGTCTTTTTAATGGCTGACTAGTATTCCGTTGTATATATACACCACATCTTCTTGATCCAATCATCAGTCGAAGGACACTTGGGTTGCTTCCAGTTCTTGGCTATGGTGAATAATGCTGCAGTGAATAGGGGTGCATAAGCCTCTTTGGATTGTTGATTTCAGGTTCGTTGGATAAATTCCCAGTAAGGGAATAGCTGGATCATAGGGTATTTCTATTTTTAATTCTTTGAGGAATCTCCATACCGTTTTCCATAGAGGCTGCACCAGTTTGCATTCCCACCAGCTGTGTATGTTTCTCCACATCCTCTCCAACATTTGTTGTTTTTTGTCTTGCTGATTATAGCCATTCTGATGGGCTTGAGGTGATATCTTAGTGTTGTTTTGATTGCATTTCCCTGATGATTAGTGATGTTGAGTGTCTTTTCATGTGCCTATTGGCCATCTGTGTATCTTCTTTGGAGAAGTGTCTGTTCATTTCCTCTGCCCGTTTTTTGACTGGGTTGTGTGTTTTTTTGTTCAGTTGTGTGAGTTCTTTATATATTATGGAGATTAACCCCTTGTCAGATATATGTTTTGCAAATATTTTCTCCCAGCTGGTGGATTGTCTGTTCATCTTGATTCTGGTTTCATTTGTCTTGCAGAAGCTCTTTAATCTGATAAAGTCCCACTTGCTTATTTTTTCTTTTTTTCTTTTTTTTCCTAGTCTGGGTAGGCATGTCATCTGAAAAGATTCCTTTATGACCAATGTCAAATAGTGTGTTGCCTATATTTTCTTCTATGAGTTTTATAGTTTCAGGTCTCACCTTCAGGTGTTTGATCCATTTTGAATTAATTTTTGTGAATGGTGATAGCAGATGGTCCACTTTCATTCTTTTGCAGGTGGCTGTCCAGTTTTCCCAACACCATTTATTTATTTGTTTATTTAATTTATTGATGTTTTAATGGTTTCTAACGTTGTGAAATTTTTGGGTTGTACATTTTTGTTTATCCATCACCATATATATGACTCCCTTCACCCCTTGTGCCCACCCCCCACCCCCACTGCCCCTGGTAACCACAGTCCAGTTTTCTCTGTCCATGCCCAACACCATTTATTGAAGAGACTTTCCTTTCTCCATTGTATGTTCTTAGCTCCTTTGTCGAAAATTAGCTGTCCGTATATGTGTGGTTTTATTTTTGGGCTTTCACTTCTGTTCCATTGATCTGTGTGTGTGTTTTTGTACCAGTAGCATGCTGTTTTGATTACTGTTGCTTTGTAGTATGTTTTGAAGTCAGGGATTGTGATGCCTCCAGCTTCGTTCTTTTTTCTTAGGATTGCTTTAGCTATTCGGGGTCTTTTGTTGCCCTATATGAATTTTAGTATTCTTTTTTCTATTTCCGTGAAGAATGTCATTGGGATTCTGATCGGGATTGCATTCAATCTGTAGATTACTTTAGGTAATATAGACATTTTAACTATGTTTATTCTTCCAATCCATACGCATGGGATATCTTTCCATTTCTTTATATCATCATCGATTTCTTTCAACAATGTCTTGTAGTTTTCATTGTATAGGTCTTTCACCTCCTTGATAAGATTTATTCCTAGATATTTTATTCTTTTTGATGCGATTGTAAATGGTATCTTTTTGAGCTCTCTTTCTGTTCGTTCGTTATTAGCATACAGAAATGCAACTGATTTTTGTAGATTGATTTTGTACCCTGCGACTTTGCTGTAGTTGTTGATTATTTCTAATAGTTTTCCAATGGATTCTTTAGGGTTTTCTATACATAAAATCATGTCATCTGCAAATAGTGAGAGTTTCACTTCTTCGTTGGCTATTTGGATTCCTTTTATTCCTTTTAGTAGAAAGTTTTTGTAATGATTTAGGGAACCGTTTTATAAAAGGGCAGCTTGGTAAGAACTGACCTGTGCTTGCTCCCATGGGAGGCAGCAACCTGCTGTGCCCCGGCAGATGTGATCACATGTGACCCTCCAGCAGCCGGGCCAGGGCCGGATGAGGGTGTCCCAGGCCTGAGGGAGTCTGTGCACAGTGCAGGCGGTGGCCCATGTACACCGTGAGCTGGGTCAATGTCCAGTGTCTCGCTGGCTTCAGTGCCCACGCTTGAACGCGCGCTTTTGCTTCTGCCTGCCCAACCTGCTTTTTTGCCTTGCTGGCCTCACTCCGCTGCTCTTGTACACTTACCCCATCCCTCTAGGAAGGCATGAGAACCATTTGTCTGTTTTTAAACACCTTTACTTTGTCACAAACGAGTTGTGGAATTTTCTCTGTTTTTAAAAACGGAATATTCGTTCATTGGAAGTGCTTTTAGTATAATTTGCGTGTTTGGGGGGGCATTAAAAATTTGCAAAGCAAAACACAAAAAATTGCACGGGTTTCCTTGTTTGCTATAGTTTACTTTTTTCTGATGTAGCAGCTTTTCTTTGTGAACGTAGATTTTGGTATTTCCTTTACCAGAGGCTAAAGGGAAGATAAGGAGGTTTCTGGCTCTAGGTCTGTCTGCTTTAGGCTTGAATAGTAGTTGGCTTTAAAGATTTTGTTTTGTGAAAGTCCCAAGGGTAAACTGAATTGGGTTCATTGGAGTCATTTACTTTGTCAAGGACAGAGTTTTTAGAATGAAAAATGAATTGAGTGTCCTCTGAGTATGCTGTCTTCCAAGTGTGCCTGAGTCGTATTTACACTTAGAGCCATCAGAGCCAGGGGTGTAAATGCTCCGTAAAAAGGTGTGCAAGAGCTTGTGGCAGCAGAGACAAGAGGGTGCATCGCTTCTGAGCATTAGAGTACGCAGTGGTGGCTGACAGCTGTTTGGCTTTAGAAGTAGCAAAAACACCTATCTTTGCCCATCTGTAAAAGGACAATGTACTAAAATGTGTGTCTTGTAAAATTACCTACTTGTCTACCATAGTGGTGAGATTACATTTGCTGCTAAACTGCTCTGTCAGGGCCAGGGGAGATGAAGAAGACGGCACTGGCCCTGAGAACTCACTCAAAGAGGAAGTGTGGGGCAGTGATGGCTCTCGAGCTGGAGGGACCCGTGAGAACTTCATCTGTCCCTTCCCTCTGGGATGTGGCAGCCCCACCTAGAGAGGTTGAGTGAAGTCCTAAGGTCACACAGCCAACTCCAGGTTCAATTGAAACACTGTTTTTTGAGGACCTTTCTGAAATTGGGCAAAGAGCTCAGACCTTTGAGTCCGTGGCCCTTCTTGCCACACCACCAGTCCATGAGAGGTAAAAACAGATCCAATTTAAATAGCAGTTTAGGACATAGTGAAAGATACCATGGATTTCTGTGGAAGGCCAGTGTTTAGGTTGAGTTGTGCCTGCAGAACCCCACCACCTCTCCCAGAGATTCCCTGAGGGTGCAGGGGTGACCCAGAAATTGATATGCAACTTCCTGATAAGTATTCTGAAGTAGAGCATTAAAGAGCTATTGACCAGATTGGAAAACTGGATGGGCTTAGAGTTAACATTTTCAGAATCATGTCCAGGAGGGACAGAAGACCCAGCTGAACCCAGCCTGAGTAATCTGCGTGTCTAGTTCTTTAGTGGTTTAAGAAGCACAATGTACTTAATAATCTAATAAAATCCATTATTGCTACAGCTGTGGACAACAGAAATATCCACTTGTATTTTCAAAAAGGGACTTGTTTATATCTGTCTTTCCTGGAGTTAGCAGGCCTTGTGCACGGTGCATCAGCAGTGTTTGTGGTGAAAGATGGCAATGGGACAGCTTGTATAATGGCCAACTTCTCCGCCACCTTCTTGACCAGCTATGATACCCAGAGTGGTTCTAAGGTAGGAAACAGCAGTGTGCTTCGTGTGTTGCTTGTGCATGTGTGTGAAAATTATTTAATCTTTGAAAAATGCTCGCACCTTAACACAGTTCTTTCATGTATGCGTCTTTCCTTCTAGGCTCATCATTACAGTGTGCCTGGATATTATTACTGCCTGTAACAGCCTATGCTCTTTATATACTGAAGCTGCAGTCATAATATACAAACCGTTTTGTGCCTTGCTTTCACTTTTTTATTATGAGCGTTTTTCTAGTTTTCTTCACGATTATCTTTTATAATCACAATGTAATACTTCATTATGTTAACCAACCTAATTTGTTAAATCACCTCCCTATTGGTAGTTGTTTTCTTATGTTTTTTTCCACACCCAATGTATAGCTCTGTGAATATAGCTTTTTTGATTTGTTGAATTTGCCTTAAATAAACTATTGTGCTCAGAGAATTGTATATAAACAGTTGTTTGATGTGCAGCGCTATAAGCATTGTACTAGTTTGATTAGAATGTCCCTTAGGGGGCCAGCCCGGTGGCGTAGTGGTTTAGTTTGCGCTTTTAGGCGGCCCGAGGTTTGCTGGTTCAGATCCTGGGTGCGGACTCACGCACCGCTTAGCAAGCCATGCTGTGGCGGCGTCCCACATAAAATGGAGGAAGAGGGGCACAAATGTTAGCCCAGGGCCAATCTTCCTCAGCAAAAAGAGGAGGATTGGCAGCAGATGTCAGCTCAGGGCTAGTTTTCGTCACCAAAAATAAAAAAGCCCCTTAGTTGTTTTGTTAAAAGAACTTTATACTTGAAGGCTTTTTGCATTTCCCTCGTTTCTAACGAATAAGCAGCATTTGTTTGTATGTCCTCTTCTGTTAGTTACCTGTTAGTGGACATTTCGCTTAGTCATTGTCTTGAACATTTGCTCTTTAAGTATATCCCTAAACCACATTTTATTGTCAGTTCTCTGTTGAAACCATCATTCTTCCTTGCCCACCTCCATGTCGACAGCACCATATCTTTTCGCTGCCGCTCACAGGGCAGCAGTGGGGCCCAGCATTGCTGGGAAGATCTGCAGTTCCTCTAAGTGCTCTAGACTTTTTGCCAGCTGCTCGGGCCTCATTCATTCACTCGTACTAGGCTTCATATAAATGTGGTCTCTGTCAAAACAGAAGAAAACTGGGAAGATTTTGTTCTGTAGAATATCTCAAATTATAAAGACTTGTCCAAGCACCTTTTATTTTAATTTCTACTTCACTTTTTTTGTTTGAATTTTTAAAATATTTTGTTATATATTAATTATGTTACACAAATGTGATCGTCCATATGCTGTTATGTGCCTTACTGTTTTACAAAGCACATCTTTGTCACCTCATGTAGTTCTGTCATTTTTTTAGGACCGCTTACCCATAGTTCATTTAGGCAGTCCAGTTTATTTTAATGGACATTAGGTTGTTTTCTAGTTGTTTGTTTGGCTTGTAATAGTAAATTTAAACATTTCTGCAATAAAAACCTTCTTCTCTTTGTTTAAAGAGACATTCTTTAAACAGACATTTCTATAACTAACAAGTAGTAATAGCTTTTTTCAAATATAAATACACAGCTCATTTTGAAGCCCATTATACTTATTTCAGTTTACTAAGATAACTTTAGTTTTAATTCCATTGTAAATTGAAATTATATTAATAAAGAATATTTATATGAATAATTGTCATCTTTGTTTTATACTTGAATTACTTTTTGGTCTATTTATTACTGACATGTAATACTGATTTTTTTTTGTATTTTTTTATGTCTATTAAAAATGAATATCTTAACAATGATATCTGAGATGGCACTGAGGTCTTAGTTTGTATCAGACTCACAGAAGAGCTTTCTTTGGTGTTTCTGAATCCTTTAATAGCCTACATTCTAACTGGGTTCTGCTGTCATTGTGTTTGTTCTAGAATGCGACCTTTGACCTGCCGTCTAATGCAGAAGTGTTAAATAGCAGCTCTTGTGGTAAAGAGAATGCTTCTGATCCCAGTCTTGTGATTGCTTTTGGAAGAGGACATACACTGACCCTCAACTTCGCAAGAAATGCCACACGTTACAGGGTCCAGCTGATGCGTTTTGTTTACAACTTGTCAGACGCACAGATTTTCCCCAATGCAAGCTCCAAGGGTACGAACCAAAACTCACCAATTATGAAGGGAAGAAAATTGGGTTGGGGGAGTGTCTGAAATTACTTTTCACTAAGTACCTCAAGTGGTGAAAAATGTTTTGTTTTTTTTTTAAATATAGACATCAAGACTGTGGAAGCCATAACTGACATCAAGGCAGACATAAATAAAAAATACAGGTGTGTAAGCAGCAACGAGATCCACATGAGTAACGTAACTGTCACGCTTCATGATGCCACCATCCAGGCGTACCTTTCGAACAATAGCTTCAGCAAGGAAGGTAAGAGACTGCTACCCTTTGGCCTGGTGCCGTCAGTCAGACTCACAGGTACAGAAGTCGCTTTGTGCCCGGGTGCCTGAGGGATGTGTGTGTGAAGGAGCATCCGTACAGCCCCCAACTGAGCCAGTGGCTTGCATCTCTGGGGTGCTGTCCACCTAACCTTTTCTCTTTAGAGAAGGTGACCTCTTTAGATGAGGGTGGACAAATATTGGTTAAAAAAGGTGAAAGGGCAAAGCAATTGAAACCTTCTCTGTGTCTTCCCTTGTTAGCTAATGGGGTCACGGTCACAGGATCTCTTCTGGCTGAAGCCAGTTGTCTTTACACAGAGACCTAGTCTGACCTCAGTCCAGCTCAGGCAGGCCCAGGGGCAGGTGGTGGAAGGACCAGGAGTGCCTTTCCGGGACGTCATTGTCTCCCAGGTTGTGCCTGCTGACCGAGCTCCACCAGTGGACTCTGGGGTCCGACAGGCAGAGCTCTAAGCTCCTCCCAGCTCTGTGGTCTTGGGGGTTCGTCAACCTCTGGTTACTTCACTTGCAAAATAAGGGTAATAACCTGGCTCAGAAGCTTGTTAAGATTGAAAAGGAGGTTTATGCAAAGTGCTTATCTCAGTGCCTGGCCTGGAGTAAGGACTGAGTAGTGCTGTCATTTTACTCTGACTTGAAAACGTTCTCTTTCCAAATCCTGCCTGTCAGCTCATAGATGACTGTCCGTTTTCTGAAAGGTAAGGGCTTTGGGCGAGTTGTCCCTGCAGCACAGAGTGTGTGTTAGAGGCAGCAGCTCCTTCCAGGCTTCAGACCCGCACTGGTGGGCCTCTGGTTTGCGGTGTTCCCCAGCAGTCTTGCTTGAAGGCTCACAGTGACTGTTGGAGAGTGCTCAGAGACGTGTGTGCTCCTAGCAGGGCCAGCAGTCGCCTGTGGCCAGATTCAGCCCACCTCTGGTTTTTGTATGGCCTGTAAGCTAAGAATGGGTTTTATGCTAAAATTTAAGCTTAAAAAAAATCAAAAGAACATCTCATGACACTTGAAAATTATATGCAATTGAAGTTTTAGTGCCCATAACTCAAGTTTTATTAGAACACAGCTGTGGTCATTCACTCCCCTGTTTCTGTGGCTGCTTTCATGTTCCCAGGGGCAGAGCTGAGTTGGGACAGACACTGGACAGCTGCAGAGTCTAAAATGTTTATTGTCTGGCCCTTTACAGAGGAAATTTGCTGACCCCTGACCTAATGGGAAGACTGTTAGTGACAGAGCTAGGACTGAAGGAAACCCTGTGTAACTGGGAGAAATAGAACCAGCAGCAGCAGTACAGGACTAGAGGTGGAGGTCAGAGTGAGCTGGAGCAGTGGGCTCGACTTGCCCACCACGCAGCCTCTTTTGGGGTGGAGGGTCGGGTGAGCATGCATCTTCACCAGGAAGGGCTGACAGGAGGCGAGGACTGCTCCCCTGGGGCTGGCGTGAGCCGTGTGGGTGAGGGCAGCAGGTCCAGGTGTGTGTGGCTCACACAGCTGCTGCCTCAGGCAGGTGAAAGGTGACTTTAGTTAGAGTAGGTAACCGAGCGGGGGCTAGAGTAACAAGGCAAATACTTCGAGTAATTACAAATTTGTTCTCCATTACACATCTCCACATAGCTGGCTTTCATACCTAGCAGAACACATCTGGGTTGCGTCAGTCTTCTCTCTCAGGCCTCAAGAGCAGAAGGAAAAAGCAGAAACTGTCCGAAGGTCTTAGAAAATGATAGTGTCTCTGGTTTGGTGACTCAGTGCAGTGACATCACTGCCAGCTGGACCTAAACATGGCGATAGAACGTGGCTCCTCCCCTTTAGGACTTGTTTCCTTCTGCTTTGGAGGCTTCTGAACATAGATGAGATGACCTGGACTCCCTAAGGGCATGGTGCTTTGAAGAGAGGTGCCACGTTGTCCGTGTCATGAGGGCGCTGGGGCCCTGTGATGGGGGCTGCCTTTTCTAGTTTAAGGACAGATGTGATGATATAGAGAGGCTAATTGTGTTCTTAAGGTTAATCAGTTACTTTGTTTTTTAAACACAGTCATCCCTTGGTATCCTCAGGGGATTGGTTCCAGGACCCCTGCCGATACCTGAGTCCACAGATGCTCAGGTCCCTTAGTGGGCCCCCCATGTCCACGGTTCCACATCCGCGGATCATAAATTCTGCACACTCCTCAGATGTGGCACCGGTGGACATGGAGGGCTGACCATGGACTTTATTGTTTAGAGGAGTTTTGGATTCATCACAGCAGAGTTGAATAGCAAGTCAGAGATTCCCCACATTTCCCCTGTCCCCGCACACGCATGGTGTCCTCACTATCAACATTTCGCACGTTCATTCCTTTTCTAATGGAGGACATGTGCTCGTGATTCCAGGTTTCCACCTGGTACGCATTTGAGGCTGTCCTCACCCGTGAGCCCCAGCCGCTGGCCGCCCCCCAGACATGCTCTTATCCCACTTAGGGTTACCTGGGGTTTGGCCTTCCCGCCTGGGAGTCGTCAGTTATTTGGAGCTTGTGGGCAACCCCTCCGTCTGTGCTGAGCTCACCACCCGACCTGGTCTCATGTTCCGTGGTTGTCCCTGGTCATCAAAGCTTGTTCAGTTTTATGTTAAATGTGCCTGTGCAGGTATGTATGTACTTTGGAAAAGAAATTGTGCTTCTTTTTCAAAGACACTACCATACTGTCTTAGTAAATTCTCCTGGGAAGAGGAGAGTTAAGAAGCATTCTGAAGATATGTCTTGTAGAAGCTGGAATGTCCTCTCATTGTAGGCCGGGAGGGCTGGGTGAAGTTGTGGGCCCACCTGCAGACTCTTCACTGGAAAGGAGTCCCCGTGGGGCTTGTGGAACTCATCTCATTATTAAGTCACATCCTCTATAGTAATCCCTTATCAGTGTGGGGCTCTAGTGCTGAGAAAACAGGAAGTAAGCAAAACAAAACAATCCCAAAGGCCCCGAGTTGGCAGGGCCCTTTCGAGTCTTGTTTGCTAACCCTTATGCCTCTCCCCTTGACTGTTGCTCCCACCCCCTCTCTCACACAACCCATGACTTCTTGCTCAACACACTTTTATGGGATTTGGTCCTCTGGTGGCCTGGGTCCTGGGAACAGTGATTAGAGGAGCTCTTGGGCCAGCCGCTGGCAGGCAGCTGCTCAAGGTGGAGGTGCAAGAGAGGAGGAGTTGGGGCCTCGGATCTCTGGTACTGGCAGACACTCCGTAAGTAAGAGGCTGTGCTGTACAACAGAATATAATAATTGATAACATGATCTGAATCGTTTTTTAAGGCTCAACCCTAGTGTATTGCACAGTTGCTCAGCTCGCCGTGAAGGTGACTCAAGTGTGGTCTGGGAGAGCCTGACCAGTGGCGTTTTGTGACAACACTCTTTGTCTGTTCTTGGTGTCCTGTTGGGTGTTTTTTGATAGTGATTGCTGTTAATATTACTTTTCAAAGAAAGGGACCAGTATCTTCCCTGTGAGTAGGGGATTTGGCATAACTGACCACATACACTACCACGACAGTGTGCGTCACTTAAAAATATTTGATGTCCATTAAAATTGAGCCATTTCTTTTTTTGTGTGTGTGAGGAAGATCAGCCCTGAGCTAACATCCATGCCAATCCTCCTCTTTTTGCTGAGGAAGACCGGCCATGAGCTAACATCTATTGCCAGTCCTCCTCCTTTTTTTTTCCCCCAAAGCCCCAGTAGATAGTTGTATGTCATAGTTGCACATCCTTCTAGTTGCTGTATGTGGGACGCGGCCTCAGCATGGCCGGAGAAGCGGTGCGTTGGTGTGCGCCCGGGATCCGAACCCGGGCCGCCAGTAGCGGAGCGCACGCACTTAACCTAAGCCACGGGGCCGGCCCGAGCTATTTCTTTTATCTCCTTTTGTACCTGTTTCATTCCTTTGGTTATTAGGCACTTAAAACTTAATTTTTTCCTGTCTGTTAACTAAATTGAAAGCTTCTTCAGGATAAAGATACCTTATCAAATATGATGAGTATATTTTTATATCCTCCTAGTCTGTTCTCCTCGTGGGTTCTTAATAAATTGTTGAATGAACACGTTTCCAGTAAATCAGTAAATTTTTGGTCATAAAAGCCACGTAAAGCTTGTATTTGATGGACTGCAGGTTCAGCATGTTAGAGTAGGCTTCTGGGGCCTTACTTATCAGTAATGTGGTAGTGGCCTTGACCAGAAAGCCCCCGTTCACCTTGCCATCTCATATGCATCATCCTGAGAAGCCTCAGGTTCTTACAGATTTTATTTTAAAAGGGAATAAAGCACAAGTCAAGGCTGACCTAACTTTCCTGTGAGTTTTGTTGATGAAGATAAGTTCTGAAGAAAACAGGTATCTTCTTTCCCGAAGGTCTGTGAAGTGGGGCAGATGGTTATCATTCTGGAATGGTCTGAGTGTAGCTCTGCCTGGAGGCTGGAGTGAATCAGGTCAGGTGGTCTCACTCTGTGTCCATCAGAAATGGATTTCCAGCCCCAGGCCCACGCTGCGTTAATGCGTTTTGGGGTGAGGCCCAGGCAGGCATCTGGGTTTAGTTGGCTCACCAGAGGACTCGGATTGGTTAATCTTTTTATCTTTAAGATTTGATACGTGGGTGCTTGTCAACTCTCACAACTGTTAGAAGTTCAAAACAGAAACTACTTTTAAATATAGTTCATCAGGGCTGGCCCGGTGGCTTAGCGGTTGAGTGCACGCGCTCCGCTGCTGGCGGCCCGGGTTCGGATCCCGGGTGTGCACCGACGCACCGCTTCTCCGGCCATGCTGAGGCCGCGTCCCACATACAGCAACTAGAGGGATATGCAGCTATGACATACAACTATCTGCTGGGGCTTTGGGGGAAAAAATAAATAAAATAAAATCTTTAAATATAGTTCATCATATAACTTACTTCCTACCCAATTTGGCAATATCTCTTTTTCATTCCTTAGGAACCAGAGTCTCGCTCCTAGTCTAGCTTAAATTGAAGGAATTGATGCTAAAACATCTCTTTCTATTTGAGATTCTTACTAATTGCAGTGTGCAGGTTTATTTGAGTATCTACTGCTGCTGGGAGATCATTTGGGGCTTTTGGGGCATATAAGCTTTTCAAAATTGTGAGAAGAGCAACTGGAAGGATACGCAGCCCTGTGGTCTCCTCTCCCGTTGTTTCCTTTGTGGAGAAGACTAAGGGTGATCCTGTAGCAACCCCTGGGTCCCCTGGTCTTCCCAGAGGCCATCCCTGGGGGTATAGCACTTTGCCTACTTCAGCGTGTTGTATTTGTGATTATCTCCACGTGGGTTGTGAGCCCTCTACAGGAAGGACTTCAGTGTTTGTAGTAGGTAACAGTCTGGTTAGAGTGTGGATTTTGTGTTTATAAGTAAGATAGAAGGAAAAGGGCGTTTTATCCATGCAGATTTCCCAAGTCCTGCACTTTTCTGAATAGCATTGAGACCTGATGGTATGTTATTCATGTTTCCAAGTTGACATTTTGTAACCTGCTTTATGAAAACGGTGGATCTTACCTTGAAAATGATTGTCAGATCAGTGTAGGTCACTCTTTCACATGTGTGTTGTTAGGGTGAGAAAAACAACTTTGTTTTTCTGAGTTGCTGCCCAGGCATTTTACAGTATGACAGCCCTGCTCACACCCAGAGTCTGGACACTTGGGTAAGGACCTGAGCTTAGGATTTCCACTGTAAGTTCCTGCTTTGCCTTTTCCGGGGCACCTTTTAAAATAACCACTTAAGAGTTAAGCCTGTGAAAAGTTAGTGCCCTTCACCCCAACCACCTTATAAGTAATAGGTGCTTGCTACCCTGCTCTCGTAACCTGGTATGGGGGACTGCCCTTCCCCCGGCTCATTGCCCGCCCCCCTGCTTCTGGGATCTGTAAGGAATAGATCTTGTGACTCTGCTTTCTTTGTGTGAGTGTATTAAAACTGCACCTTCAATTGCAGTGACCCCATAGGTTTCATCTTCCCTGTGTGGGAGCTTGGATGCTGAGAGGTGTGTGAGGTGGCTTGTGCCCCCTCATTCAGCAGGTCATAATCTGCATGTTCCTCATTCAGTCCACCAGCTCTGGCTTCTCAACACAGTTTGTGGCCAGAATTCGGAGACTGGCCTGTTCTCTGTTTTGTTTTAACGTGGTTTTGCACATTTGATTGTTATGTTCCCTAACAATTTATAAAGTGATGGTGAAGCTACTTTTACAAGTACAGCTGTAACGTCACCGTGTGGCTTAGCTCCCGGGTGAGAGGCAGATGGTGTTGGCCAGCTCACTGTAGGTTGGGACATCTGTGGCGGTGTTTGACTTGCCTTCATCAGCCCAAGGTTAAATTCACTTCACAGAGGTGGGTATTTTTTTTTTGCCATCTTTATCCTCGATCTAGAAAGGCATTTTACTCTACAAGATTGCATAGTGTGAAGGTGTTAAATTACCCCTGTGTTGTAGTCCTGTGGGGGAAGTTTCTCGTCTCTCCTCCTCTGACTAGATGGAATATGGAGGCAGAATCAGCAACTGAAAAGGAGTTAAAAGTAAAAGTTTGATTTTAGCTTGGAATAAGAAGGGAACAGGTAGTTGGTAAAGTTACAGCAAATCCCCGGTGGGCTCCCCACACTGGATATTTTGGCCAGCTTCCCCTGGCTCAGCGTGGCAGAAATGTGGAAAGAGGGAATTGGATGGAAATTGTGATTCGAAACTTTGTGATTCTAAACATTCTAAATGATTCTAAACTTCTTGATTGTCCACAGAAACAAGGTGGTAAATGAACCTAATTTTGGGGTGGGCGGTATCCTAGAAGTGCTATATATCTTGCTGTTTTAAATGGTTAAGTAATCTGTCATCTTCATGGGAGGCATCCATCTATCCTGTCTGCTGCTGTAGAAAGTTTTTGGTTGTCATTCTCCTTTACTTTGATTTTCACAATAAACTTTTGTTGTAAACTCTCACGGTGGATCAAATTCTGAGGGACAGAATAACATTCAAACTCCTCAGCATGTCTTCTGGGGGTGCCATGTGTCCTCTCCCCACCCCCCCCCGTGTGTCCTCTCCCCACCCCCCCCCGTGTGTCCTCTCCCCACACACCCCCCCGTGTGCACTCTCCCCACACACCCCCGTGTAGCTTCTCCCCACACCTCCTCCGTGTGTCCTCTCCCCACACCCCCGTGTCCTCTCCCCACACTCCCCCGTGTGTCCTCTCTCCACATCCCCCGCCGTGTGTCCTCTCCCCACACCTCCTCCATGTGTCCTCTCCCCACACACCCCGTGTGCGCTCTCCCCCCGACCCCTCCCCCCCACATCGTCACCCTCAGCCGGCTCTGTGCGTCACTGGCACCACCTGCTCTGGGTTGTCTGTAATGATTTGCTCCTGTCCTGTACTTCCGGAACGGTGTTAGCATATGACATTCTTGGGAGAATTGAGAAGTCACGTTCTGCGGGGCTTTTTGAGAAAGTCTGATGGGGTCTGCACTGAACTCGGGGTGGCCGTAGTTCCTGGCGGTTCTAGGGAACCAGTACTTTGCCGGCCGTCCTGTGAGAGTGCGATTCATCCCCACTTGTCCCTCCAGAGACGCGCTGTGAGCAAGACGAACCTTCCCCGACACCAGCGCCGACGGCGCCCCCCCACCCTTCGCCATCGCCTGAGAGCCCCTCAGTGCGCAAGTACAACGTGAGCGGCACCAACGGGACCTGTCTGCTTGCCAGCATGGGGCTGCAGCTGAACATCACCTACGAGAGGAAGGACAACACGGTAGGCTCGGCTCTGAGGAGCCCTTTCTCTGTGCGCGTTGGCTTGTTGGTGCACGTGAGCATCGGGATCAGTGCGTGTGCAGCCTCTTAGGTAAAAATCGTAGGGAGCAGGTCAGTGTGCCTGTGTCCGTCAGGCACACCCAGCCATCCACACACTCCAGTGCTTTTCTCTGAAACAGCAGAATCGAGGTGATGTGACAGAGCCTGTCGTGTGGCCCACAAAGCCTACAATGTGTGTTGTTTGGCACTTTAAGGGACAGGTTTGTTGACCTTTGAGAGAACATTAAATTTTACTTAAACTGTTACCACTCAAACATTTAAGTGTCATTTTTATACTTTCCCTTGGAATTCATATTTCTCCCTAATGATGACAAAGTCTGTGGGGCTGTGCGGTAACTTGCTTGTGATGATGTGAAGTCGGGAGACGGGGTCAGAAGGGGCTGGGATCTGCACCTTCCTACAGGTACGCCTCGTTCTGAGAGTAGCAACCAGAAGTAGCAGGAAAAGTTGTTTTGGAATCCAGAAATCTGCACTAGTGTAAACTTCTAATGTTTTCCTTTTGGGTTTGGTCAAAATGAAATGTGGCTTTGATGTTACTGTTTTAGGATTGCTTTTGTTTTTTCAGAAGTGGGGAGGACTTGGTATGACATGGAATGGTAACTTGTTTCTGTTGCTTACTTAGACTGTGAGAAGAGTATTCAATGTCAACCCAAATAAGACCCATGTCAGTGGGAGCTGCACCGCCCAGCTGGTGACCCTGGAGCTCCGGGGCGAGGATATCATTCTCCTTTCCTTCAAGTTTGGAATGGTGAGGGTCCATGTTCCTTTGTCACTTGGGGCTTCAGTGTCAGCCCCGCCTGGCTTTGTAGCGTGCGTCTCACTTGGGTTTTCTTTCTACTGTGTTTTCTCACGTGCCGGGTGCCGCCTGGCTACAGCGGCTGAGCTGAGCACAGGCGCACAAGCCAGGGTGAAGACGGGGCACAGGTCCTGAAGCAACGGCTCTGCCTTAGGCAGGAGGAGTCTTCCCTTTGCCTTCCTCCTCTGTTGGTCTTTCGGGCCCTCTGCCCCCACGCCTTGTCTGTCAGCAAGTGCCTCCATTCATTTATTCATATGTCAGGGGGTGCCTGTTGTGTGCCCGGCAGCTGTGGCTGCCCAGAGGAAGGGGCAACTTCAGGTTGGGCACTCAGCTTGGCCTCCTGCCTCAGACGCGCTCCTCGCCCCTTGACTGAGGAGCAGCATCTCTGCATCCTGTACCTTCTTGTTTTCATACCTGCCTGGGCAGAATCATATGTAACGCTACCAAAATAATACGGGAAGAATGGGAATGCTGCTCAGGAATATTTGTAATACACTGTGCAAATGAACTGATTAACAGTTGGGTTTCTCCTAATAAAGTTTAACTTTCCTAAAAAGGGCAGCAAACATTTGGAAAAAGTTTACTTTTTTAGAATGCAGCTCCTTCAATCCTTAATTTAATAGAGAATCTGATTATGTGAAATGGTCTGGAAGGAACTAATCAAAATTTGTATTCTTGAGATTTGTATGATGCCTTTACAGACAGGATACTCTGTAGTTTCATTCTAAAGCTAGAATGGGAGGTCAGATTTATTACCAAATGAGCCTTCAAGTTTGATGGTAAAAACGTGAGTGGTTATAAGGATTATCTTCTTCTCTTTAAGAATGCAACTTCTAGCCGGTTTTTCCTCCAAGAAATCCAGTTGAATATGACTCTTCCTGACACCAGAGGTAAGACCCCCACAATTCATGTGCCCCTCCAGGTGCTCTGGGGCACTCACTCTCACGTGCCTTTGCAGGGCCCACCTTCGAGGCTGCCAACAGTTCACTGAGGGCACTTCAGGCCACGGTCGGGAATTCCTACAAGTGTAACGCTGAGGAGCGCCTGCGGGTCTCGGACGCCCTTTACGTCAACATCTTCAAAGTGTGGGTCCAGGCTTTCCAGGTGGAAGGTGACAAGTTTGGGTCTGGTGAGTAGCATCGAGGGCGGTGTCTCAGACTTGCATGGGGTCCAACAGGCTGTGGGTCTGTTTGGATATTTAGCAGCTTCTGTGTGGCAAGGCAGGGCTGGGAGCCCCGTTTCCCAGTCTAAGATTTTTAGAGCAAATGCTCTTCCTGTGTCACTTCACTTTTGAAAGGCCCGGCATATCTTACAGATGTAAACACGTCACCATTTGAGCATAGGTAGTTGTTTCAAGAAATAGTGTGGCTCTTCCCCCTGTGAAAGCGGTTAGTGTTCCAGAAGGGCCCAGGATTAGGTTAGACTGACCACGTCTGTAATTTCCCAGCCTTGTGGAAAGCCCTGCCTCTATAGGGGCTTCTCCAAGTGATAGTGGATTGGAATTGGAGGCCCCTCCTTGGTTTAATCTTCCCCTGCTGGGCTGTGAGAAGAGAGGGAGGCGACAGAGGCCTGTCTGCAGGGTCTGCATGGTGACAGCCTATGTGAGCACAGGTCTGTCTGTCTCCACAGTGGAGGAATGTCAGCTCGACGAGAACAACATGCTGATCCCCATCGCCGTGGGCGGAGCCCTGGCAGGGCTGGTCCTCATTGTCCTCATCGCCTACCTCATCGGCAGAAAGAGGAGCCATGCCGGCTACCAGACGATTTAGCACTGCAGCGCCACGCGGACCTGCAGCAGCTGCAGGGCCACCGTTCATTTCTCTGAGCTTAGATGGGTGTTGAGGGAGGCACACTTTGCTGCAAACTGATTTTCAAATCTGCTTTATCAAATGTGAAGTTCATCTTGCGACATTTACTATGCACAAAAGAGTAACTATTGAAATGACGGTGTTAATTTTGCTAACTGGGTTAAATATTTTGCTAACTGGTTAAACGTTAATATTTACCAAAGTAGAACTCTAAGAGGGGGTGGGTAAGAGTGCTTTTCTGGAGGGCACTGGCTCCATGTAATTTGGCTTTTTAAGATTGTGGTGTTTGGTCTCTTCACTCTTGACTCAGATTTAAGCCTTACAAAGGGAGAGTCTCTGGTCTTAACACGTACGGCTGGTGAAGGCTGGCTGTTAGGCTGACATGCTTAAGAAATTAGTAGAGAAAGTCGTAAAACAGAAGTACTCCAAAAGATGAAAATCTGGAATGCTTAAGTTAAGCTTTAGAAGCCAGGACAGGCCCGGCCCCCAAGGGCTGTGCAGCTCAACCCTCGAGCATCAAAGCTACTGGCGTCTGCCACTCAAGAGCTGGCGCTTTTTTAAATAGAAAACTGGGTGTTATTTTTATTTACTTCTTTTGTCAAGTGATCTTCAGTCTTCTGTGTGAGGTTCAGGTGACCCTGCGTCTGCACTTGTGGACAGTGATGGGTCTCATTCTCTGGTTTATCCACTTGCAGCTCGGCGGGTTGGGCACTGAGGACCCTTCGTGTGCGCGATGTCGTAACAGTGCTAATAAAGCGTCTCTTTCTCTCTCTGTCTGGACCTAGCCCTTTTGTCCACTCGTGGTGAGCGGTTGCGATGTGATGAAGGGTGGGTGACAGTGTGTGGGCTGGGGTGCCACAGCCACAGGTGGGGCGCTGCCCGTCTGCCCTGCTCTCCCAAGAGCTGACGTAGCCAGTGTTCAGGGTGGTAATTTGAGGAGGACATTCTGAGTGGTGTCTTAAGGTCAGTCTTGAGTTATGACCATGAGAATGAGGAGGGGGTGGGAGAAGGGCTATGTGGGCTCCCTCACAGCGTTGTCTGTCTGGAATCGTGGGGTTCTGGAGACAAGATGACCCCTTGAAGATGAGCCTTACCTGGTCCTCCAGGACGGCGGCAGTCTGGGGCCCACTGGAGCTCGGAGCTTCAGAGCACGGGCTCGAGCTGGAGCTTGATTTAATCTTGCGTTTTTAGGCGAAGACCCATGCCCTCTGAGAGTCTATGGTCCTTGGTGGATGAGGCTGAGTGCAGCCTGCCTGCTGGTGGCCCTGGGACTGGAGTGACCATCGCCCACATACTTGAATCCCAGGGCCTGCCCCAGAAGTTGCCGTCCACACAGGACCTGGCAGTCGGCCCCCGGATGCCGGATGGTTTCCTCTTGTAGGACTGAGGTGGCCCACGTGACTCTTGCTTTGTGGCAGTCCTTTTCAGATCAAGCAGAGTGGGGCCGTGTGAGAAATGCCGAGGCAGAGCAGGCCTGCGGTCCCTGGCAGTGAAAGCTTGGGACCCTGGGGCGGAGTTCAGAGACCTCGGGCAGCAGCATGACCACAAGCGTGAGAAACTCTCCCACGTTCTCAGATTCTATTCTCCCCAGTCTGGACGGTCCAGACGCCTGATGGCTGAGCCAGAACTGAGGGAAACCAGCGACTGGCCTGTCATGCTGGGGCCCAGGTGTTGGCAGTTTTGGGATTTGTAGCATCATACAAGTTAAGAAGCAGTACACCAATGTAGAAGCAGCAGGGTCTGCCTGGAGCCGTGAAGCTTCCAAGGACCCAGATGGAGCCCTGTGGCACCCCGAAGGCTCGGTGCCCTAGAGGTGCATGCAGCTGCTCATGTTTCAAGCGGGAGAACCTCTGTCATTTTGGGGTCTTTCCTGGGAGAGCTCCACTGGCTGGTTCATCCGACATGGCTCCAAGTCATCAGATCCAGGGCGAGTGCCGTGTGGTTCCTGGGGCAAGGGGCTCAGGGCTACGCGACTGGCATCCAAGGGTCAGCATTAGCTGTTCCAAGGCTGTTTGGACAGCTGTGCCAACCCCCTGGTGGGAGGTGACCCCTGGGAAGCAGACATGCTGCTTTCTGGACATAGCAGCTTTGTGAGAATTTGGGGCGGGAGAGAGAACTGGGAGCACCCGAGTTCACCTGCAGGCAGCAGTGACCTCACGTGCGTGGTTGTACCATGAGGGTGGTCTCAGTGGCTTCCCCGAGCTCTGGCGCCCCACCCAGGCTGCCCTTTCCTCCCACACAGCCACCCGCAGGTGGGCTGGGACGTTAGCATCCTCTTTGGGTCCCAGTCCAGCTTCAGGAGTGGCTGCAGCTGGGGGTGAGGATAGCCCAGGCTGCTGCTGTTGGGGGCGAGGCTGCCAGCGCCTGGGTCCCTCATCTGCACTTCTCTTTGGGGTGAAACCGTGGCCACGGGGTGCCAACACGTAACTGCAGCACCACGGGTGGGGAACAGGGGTGTCTGTAAAGGGACGACTTGGAGAAACCCAGGGGTGTTTACAGGCAACACTGCTGAGCGGGGCAGGTGGGCTTGGGGCTGCTGGGGGGGGGCAGGCCGGCTGCCCCGAGTGTGCCCTGCTTGTCCCCACTTGCACCCACGTGTCCCATGCAGGGCTCAGGTTCTGGGGCGGGCAGGTGGGTCAGGGGTTGGGGTGGGAAGTTCAGGGCCTCAAGCCCTGAGAGGATGGTCCTGCTGGGTGAAGAGGGAGGTCTCCTCCCTCTAGGGGTCCAGGGTGAGGTGGCTTCATGGAGCACTCGTGGGCCCAAATCAGACTCCTGCAGTTCCCTACATCTCACTCACGTATGTCTGGTTTATTCTTCACGTGACACGGTAATTTTAAAAATTAGCTTTCTAAAGAGAAATCACTTGCTATGTGCACAAACCTCACATAAAGGTAAATGTGCACAAACCTCACATAAAGGTAAATAAACGCCACAGAAAGGAATGGAAATAGTTAACTGGCATTAATAACACTGATGACAGCTCACTGCTTTGGTTTTAATTTTCAGGCGGCTGACAAGCTGATAATCACAAATTCAAAGGTGCTGACATAATTTATTAAATACAAACACATCTCACATTTTATATATTATCCATCAGGTAAAAATATATTTTTATAAATTCATGACTTCATAGCCCATAAAGAGTTACAGAAAGACATGATTTTAAATCACTTAGAACAAATTCATGACTCAAGTGTAGACATCGAGTATTTACAGCACTTTCAGGAAAGTGGTCACAATTGGTCAGCTCTGGCAGCACAGCCTCGGTCAGCGTGGGAGGCGCCCACTCACCCCTGAGCCAGCAGCTTGGCCCTGCAGCGCTCCCGGAGCCTGGTGATGGTGGTCATGGGCAAGCTGCCCGGCTCGGAGAAGATTTTCTGGAACAGAAGTGGAGTTCGTTTAGAAACCAACCAACCAACACGTTTCTACCTCAGCTGTCCCATTAAACGCTAGACTGCGGCAGACGGACAACAGACTAAAAACTGCAGGCCTTGGTCCCCAGCCGGGCAGACATCCCCCGGTTTGCCACATCCCATTTCTGCCCCAGAGACCCAGGGCGGCAGGTCGGCTGCCTGACAATGTTAAATCAGTCAACTGAAGCAAAGGTCACCTGTTTCCTTTAGACTGTTTTCAAAGTGAAAGAGAGGCACCGCGACAAACCAATCAGTGCTCACCGCAGACACCAGGCAGAGGAGAGCCGCCAGACCTGTCCACGGAGCCCCGGGGCTGGATGCTGGGCCCCAGACACGCTGCCGTCCATTTTAGCAGCGGGCCTCAAAGGCCGGCTGGCCAGAGGGGAGCACCCTGTGGCTTGAGCATCACTTTGCCTGCACCCGCAGCCGAGCTAACGGCATCAAGGCGAGACCCCACACAGCCAGACATCGCTGGCCCACGACTCAGAGCTGTGGTCAGCTGCTGCGATGGCACAGGGTGAGGGGGCTCTGGGCACATGCGAGTCCCAATTCAGGCAAGCGTTCGTTCCAGTCGGGCGTGAGCACACGGCAGGCAGGGGGCAGGTCCCAGTGTGTCTTCTCAGATGTTGGGATGTTTGCGGGGTGAGCAGACGCGACCTGTGCTCTCCTGAGGCCACGTTTCCGCGTCCCCTATCACATTTTCATGTTGTGAATCAAATCCATAAAGTCAACACCTCGGATTCTGAAGTCACGGGCTCCAAGCCCTTGGAATTAAAATCAGGTAACGTCTTGTCCAATTTCTGTTTTAGTTGGTTTTTTTAATTGTGCTAAAAACCACATAATATAAATTTACCATCTTAACCATTTCTAAGTGTACAGTTCAGTAGTGCTAACTGTATTCACATTGTTGTGTATCAGATCTCTAGAACTTTCCATCTCCCCAAACAAAACTCTGTCCCCACTAAACCCTAACTCCCCATCGCTCAGCCCCTGGAACCACCATCTACTCTCTGTCTCTTATCAATCTGACTCCTCTGTGTCCCTCGTGTAAAAGTAGAACCCTACAGCATTTGTCTTCTGTGACTGCCTTATTTCAGTAGAACGTCCTTAAGGTTCAGCCATGTAGCCCGTGTCAGAATTTCCTTCCTTTATAAAAAGGCTGAATAACATCTCATTGTATGGATGGACCACGGTCTGTTTATCCACTCATCTGTTGATGGGCAATTGGGTTTTTTCCATATCTTGGCTATTGGGAATAATCCGACTATGAACATAGGTGTACAAATATGTGTTCAAGTCCCTGCTTTCAGTTCTTTTGGGTATCTACTGGATTTGCTGGATCCAGTGGAATTGCTGGATCCTCTGGTAATTCTGTTTAATTTTTTGAGGAATTGCCATACTGTCTTCCACAGGTGCTGCAGCATTTTACATTCCGAAAAACAGTGCACGAGGGTTCCAATTTCTCCACATCCTCGCCAACACTTATTCCTGTGTTTTGACAGTGACCATCCTCGTGGGTGTGAAGTGGCATCTCGTGTGGTTTTGATTTGCATTTCCCTCGTGATTAGTGATGTTGAGCATCTCTTTACATGCTTGTCAGCCATCTCTATGTCTTCTTTGGAGAAATGTCTGTTCAAGCCTTTGCCTATTTTTAAATGGAATTATTTGGGTTTTTGTTGTTGAGCTGTAGTTCTCTGTATGTTCTGGATATTAACCCCTTATCAGATATGTGGTTCGCAAATATCCTCTCCCGTTCTGCAGGTCTTGTGTTTCCTTTGCTGAGTGGGAGTTTTTAAGTTCGAGGTCGTCCGGTTGGCCTGTTTTTGCTTCTGTTGCCTGAGCTCTGTTCTCGTAGTTTTGACCCTTTAACTGTGGGTCCTGTAGCAGCTCTGAAGCCAGTCAGGGCTGTCCGTGACCAGACTAAGGAAACTGTAAGAAACCAGATTTGAGAAGTGGAAGCAGGAAGAGACTCAGACTCATTTCTAGTAAGAGAGAAACCACCCCACGATGAGGAGGAAAGATGGTGCCTTGGGGAGGGAGGGAGAGCTGGGCACCAGCCCACGGCGGCCACAGCCTGGGGCTTCAGAGGCCAGCGTCATGACCAGCATGAGAACAAACATTTTAGACTGGGGGACACGCCATCGCATCTTTTATGCATAATAATTTAATAATCATTTGTGCAGTTACCGCTGAGAAATTCACGGTTATAAATTAGGCCAAGTGTAAGGCTGCATTATAAAGCGTTTAAGAAATTTCATTCCAGAAATTCTTCGGTGGGTCCGTAACACACAGCACCTAAGGTCGGGGTAGAGCAGTTAACGTGGTGACGCCCACGTTCCTGAGAAGTGGGAAGTAACTCCAGTCCTTGCGATGTGCCAGGACCTTGGTGTCCAGCTGTCCGTGTCCCATTACCCTTGCACTGAGCTCCGACGTGAGACCCCCGTGTTTATTCCCCAGGAAGTTCCAGATGTTCTCATGAGGACTTCTCGGAGGTCTGACATATGAACTGCAGTGCTGCGATGATGTGTCTAATACAGAAACACAAGCACGACTTTGCAGGGATCAGTGACAAAGTAGGACCCACTGTCCCAGGGCCGCCACCCCGCCAACTCCCCTTGAGTGGCTCCATCTGCTCTGTGATGACACACAGCATTTCTATTTCAACATGGTCTACGTAGACAGGAGGAACCCGCCCAGTGCTCTTGTGATCCTCTGTGCTTCCCTCAAGCCTGCTTGGTGCTCAGGGCCCAGAGCACCTTCGGGCAGAAGCCCCACAAAGCCCCGCTGTGGATGGCCATCCTCCTGCAACCGGCGCGCAGGCAGGAGACCCGTCACCTTGCTGCCTCTTGCACTTTACAAATTCCAGCACTCATTGAGCACTTACTGTGTGCAGGTACTCTGCTAAACACAGCCATAAATAATGCCTGTTAGAACTCAATGACCCGAAAGCATCATGCTGAGTAAGAGAATCGGGAACAAAACGTCACACGTGACATGTCCACAAGAGGCAAATCCACAGGGACAGAAAGACTGGTGGTTGCCAGGGGCTGGGAGAGGGAGGAGGTACGGGGTTCGCTTTTGGGGTGATGAGAATGTTCTGGAATAGTGATGATAGTTGTACAATCTTGTGGACATACTAAAGGCCTCTGAACCGTACATGTTAAAAGGGTGAATTTTATGACATGGGAATTCTACCTCATTAAAACAAAAACCCTAAACAAACCTAGGATGCAGAACCTATTATGATCTCCTCTCTGTGATAAATGAGGAAACTGAGCCTAAAGGGATCATGAAACCAGCCAGCAGTCGTACAGAACGGGCCAGCTGTGATGCAGCGTCCGGCCTACAAATTCCTGGACGCAGGGCACAGACGCGCTGAAGGCCTGGGAGAAGCTCCCTCCGCCGTCTGCCGCTTGGATTTCCCCATGACTCCTCACCAAGAGGCGAGGCCACCAGCCGGTCTGGAGACTTCCCAGGACAGAGGAGTGGCCCCTTCCAGAGGACGCACACTGTCACGGTGACAGGCTCCAGCTCCAGCTGGCCAGTCTCCGAATGGGCCGGTGACAGGTCTGAGATTTCTCCTCCGTCATCACCACCTTCCCTTTGTCGAGGCCGCTGGCCGGTGAGCACAGCCGGGTAGGAGCTGAAACGTCAGTGCTCACGCCCGCCCGCCCGCCCGCCCGCCCGCCATTCAGAGGATGCACGGGACCCTGGCGACTGTGTGTCCCTGCACGGCAGTGAGGCAGGAGGTCATTCTGTTCCTCCCGAGGCGGAGTAGAGGCAGCACCCCATCCCTTACCGGGAGCCCCAGGACAGAGGCCCCGGGTTTTTCTGCTCTGCCCGAGCTGCTCCCTGGAGCCACCTGCGTGCTCGCTTCACTTCCAGTGCGGCAGGGAGAAGCTCGGGCACACACTCTGGCTCAGTGTCCTCGATTCTTCCTAAGACAGCCCCACCATCAGAAGGCGGCCCCTCAGTCGCCCGCTGGCTGTCGGTGCTCCCAGGCAAAGCCGCCTCAGCATGGTGGCTTGCTCCTCCGGGAGGCGGGAGAATCACCTGGCAGTCCTGGGCCCGGAGATGACGTAGCCATTGGTGCCTCTGCTGCCTCCTCTGAATTTGTCGGTATTTCAGGTGGGAAGGTGAAAATCGGGATGGGCTCAGCATTCAAGATCAAGGCCGCCCAGGCGCCGGCACTCACCCCCCACCAGGGTCATTCCGGCTTCGCTCCCGGCCTCTCGCCCTCTTCCCACTAGCCCAGCTGAAACCTGCCTCTCCGGCCCAGCCTCTACCAGCCTCTGCAGCCTCATCCTCCTGTTGGATGCAGCTCCCACTCTGTTCACTCAGTGGACCTGAGTTGTCTACATGGCCTGCGCCAGGCCCAGACCCAGCGGGGAGGCGCCCGCCTCAGGGAGCTGCCCTTCCAGGTGGAACAACAACAGACAGTGTGAGCCCAGCAGGGCCTGGCGAGAAGTGGACAGTGGTCGGGCCGCGGAGAGACGGGGAACCTACCACAGACGGTCACGAGGAAAGCCCTGAGACCACGGGGGGCTCCAGGAAGGGGCAGCAGACCGAGGCCCCGCGCTGCGCCTTGACTCGGAAAACTCCACCTCCCAGGCCTGGGAGAAACTGACGTGCAGGTTGGACAGGTTCTGCCTTGCCTGCTTCGGCCCGGTGAACCTGGACCGGCCCTAGAGGGAGTCCCAGTGGCACTGGACCCGCTCCCCTCAGGGCTTATGGTGCAGGAGTTGAGGAGCAGCCACTGGACTCCGGGTGGGTGGCCACCACGGGTCTGCCGGCCGGCCCCAGGGTCCAGGTGAAGATGGGCCTGGAAGGGGCTGCTTGAGAGGGGAGGGGTCAAGGGGCCTGCAGAGACGGAGGTCCAGAGGGAACGCAGGGACAGACGCTGCGCCAGACAGACAGACGAGCAGAGCCAGGGCACCCACGCCATGGGCCGGGCAAATAGCCGCAGACTGCACTCACCTGCATGAAGGTGTGACACTCGGTCACAAACCTCCCTCTGGTGATCTCCTTGAACTTCTCACAAACGTCTGCGAAACTGGTGGCTTCCAAAATAAAAGCCTGGTGTTGCTTAATCAGGGTCAGGGCCACCCGGAAGATGATCTTTGAGCCTTCGTTGAACAAACAATCCCAGATCCGAAGCACCGTCTGCAGAGAAACAGGGCAGAGCATCACTGCGCGGCGGCCCCGGCAGCCCTGCCCCAGCAAGGCGCGCGCCATGCTCACCTCCACGGGCAGGATGTCCACGAACAGGCAGATGAACCATCGAGACACAACCAGGGTCCACAGGACACCGTGCCCGTCCATCAGGGCTGCCACCGCCGGCAGCTTGGTCCTCACCAGCTCCCCGAGGACCTCCTGGTCCGTCTTCAGGCCCAGCATCGCGGGGCTGTAGTAATCTGCCCCGGGGACGAGACGAAAAACCAAGAAACCTGCATCACTCGATCCACAACCACAGCCCCCGACGGCCTGGCCCCCGATCCTGCTCAGCCAGGGATGGAAAACAGGGCTCTCCGTGGAGGACCCTTTTCAGAAGAGGAGGGCAAGGCCGGAAGGAGGCCCCAGGCAGGATGCCGAGCCATGCAGATGTGGGGACTCCTGGGAGCAAGTCCCAGAGCAAGGTCCCCGGGTGCCCCTGCTGGGCGTTAGTTCAGACCTGCTGGGGGTAAGCAGGCATGTCTGCACACCCACCTTCACAGCAGCATTATTTCCCCTCACCAAAAGGTGGACACAACCAAGTGTCCACCTACGGAGGCGGATAACAGAACGTGTCTCTCTATACAAGGGGATATTAGCCTTAAAAAGGAAGGAAATCCTGACACCTGCTCCAACATGGATGGATCCTGAAGATGTTATGCTGCATGAAAAAAGCCAGTCACAAAAAACAAATACTTCTGTGAGGTCCCTAAAGGAGTCAAATTCATAGAAATGAAAAGTAGACGGTGGTGCCGGGGTGGGGGGAGGGGCGGTACGTAGTGGTTAATGGGGTAAAGTTTCAGTTTGGGAAGACAACAGTTCTGGAGGTGGTGGTGATGGCTGCACAACAGTGCGAATGTGCTTAATGCTGCTGAACTGGGCACTTACAAATGGTGAGGACAGTAAATTGTATGTTACGTGTATTTTACCACAATAAAAACACAACTGTGTAAAATCTGTAGGCAGCAGCCACCTTTTCCCGTCATCCCGAGGGAGGGAGAGCCGGCAGCCATGGCCATGCCGCTGGTCTCAGTGGCCTTCAGCAGCCGGGTTCTGGCCGCCCGGGCTAAGTGAGGCTGAGGGGGCAGGGGCGGGCGCAGGGCCTCCTGAGCTTCGGGGACAGCAATGCCCGACAACGAGCCCCTTCCTGGGGGTGAGACAGGTCCCAGTGTGGAGGCTGCCGGGCTGAGCACAAGGGTCCAGGCGTAAGCGAACCTGCCCTCGCCTGCGTGGTGCTGGGTGATTGGGCCTCTCCTGGTGCCACCAAGCCATCCCACGCACACTCAGAGTGAGGAAGGGGTGGGGCTCGTGGTGGGCGCCCCCCACACCCCCGTGCATCCCCAGAGCAGATGGTGCAGGCACATAAATTAGTGTCATAAAACACAATTTTTAATAAGTCTTAGGTTTCTAATTCCCCGTCTGGCTGGTAAAATGTGTGCCCTCTGTGGGGTGGACTTGAGTTTCAGGAACAGCAGTGGCTGCAGCCATGATGGCCTCCCCAGGAGTGTGCCAGGGCCCCTGCGCATCCGGGGTTCCTCTGAGCACAGAACACACTCTCCCTTGCTTACTCGTGGTGTGTTCTTTATTTCTCTCTTTCCTGTATTTTTTGTTATGAAGACGACGCTTGTGACGAATGTGGACATTACAGGAGAGTTTCAGTGACACGTGCAAGTGGCCTCACAGCCCGCCCCCAGGTAACCAATCCCCGCTCAGCAGTCTGATGGGCGCCCCGTACTTCTGACACCGAGGACACACAGACTTATCCTGCAAACAGGACCCTGCCGTACACTCTGGAAAGGTGCTATTCTTCCCTTTCCAACCTCCCGAGCCCTCCGACCTCACACTTAGGCCTGCCCTAGATGGCGCCTCTGCAGGGAGGGGCCATGACTCGAGGGGTCTTCAGACGGTGCCCACCCACATGCATGTGCTCACGTGTGCAGGCGAAGTCTGCACGTGGAGCTGCTGGAGGCTCTCCTCGCCGCTCTCGGAATCCTGCGTGCTTCCTCCACCTCAAGGGTACGGACGCTTCATTACTTTTACCAGAAATTCTAGAAGAGGCCAACGTGTCCCCCCCACCCCCACATCCCGAACACAGAAGGAGGAGGCCATGTTTAGTCTAAATATTTCTCTTCATTCCCAATGAGGGCTGACGGCTTAACTGGGAGAAATTCCTTTCACTCCACTTAGTGGCTTGGGGGCCTCGGAAAGCAAGACCCGCTAAGGGCAGCTCACTGCTTCTCCACCCAAGGGCCTGGGCACCGGCCTGCAGCCGGCGGTGCCCACAGCTCTTTGACCATGTGCTTGGAAAGACAGACAGACCAACACTTCCAACAGCCTGTCTATCATTTGAATGGACATTTGTCTTGCCAAAGAACTTTCCAGCTTGTTAATGTGATGTATTACAATAAACTTTAATGCTTAATTTTATTTTATTATTTTTTTATTTTTTAGTGAAGAATATTAGCCTTGAGCTAACATCTGTTGCCAATCCTCCTCTTTTTACTGAGGAAGCCTGGCCCTGGGCTAACATCCGTGCCCATCCTCCTCTACTCTCTATGGGACGCTGCCACAGCATGGCTTGACAAGCAGTGCGTAGGTCCATGCCGGGCTCCAACCCCGCGAATCCCGGGCTGCTGAAGCAGAGTGCACAAACTTAACCGATGTGCCACTAGGCTGGCCTCTTTAATGCTTAATTTTTGATAAAAAAAATCAGTAAGTAATCCATGTAATACAACAGGAAAATCTGGCACACACATTCTGTGCCAAACACAGAATCCTGTCCTGCTGCCCATATCCAGTTTGGCCGTTCACCATGGCAAAGAAACGAGATGTTCTTGTTAATTATTTTGGTTAAAATAGAATCATTATAAATATTGACATGACATTGTGGTCATGTTACTAATTTTCAAAGAGTAGGCACACAATAAACTATGTTCAATACTAAAATACCCTGAAAGGGCTGGCCCGGTGGCTTAGCGGTTAAGTGTGCGTGCTCTGCTACTGGCGGCCTGGGTTCGGATCCCGGGCGTGCACTGACGCACCACTTCTCCGGCCATGCTGAGGCCGTGTCCCACATACAGCAACTAGAGGGATATGCAGCTATGACATACAACTATCTACTGGGGCTTTGGGGAAAAAAAAGGAGGAGGATTGGCTATAGATGTTAGCTCAGAGCCGGTCTTCCTCAGCAAAAAGAGGAGGATTAGCACGGATGTTAGCTCAGGGCTGATCTCCCTCACACACACACACACACACACACACACACACACACACACACACACACAAATACCCTGAAAATAATTTAATAGAAGTCAATGCAGTTACAAAACACCAGGGATTAAAAGAATTCTTCCCTCTCATATCCTTCTTTTGTGTCTCTCTCGAAACTTTTTTTTTTCCCTTTTTCTCCCCAAAGCCCCAGTAGATAGTAGTATGTCATAGCTACACATCCCTTTAGTTGCTGTATGTGGGACGCGGCCTCAGCATGGCTGGAGAAGCGGTGCGTTGGTGTGCGCCCAGGATCCGAACCCGGGCCGCCAGTAGTGGAGCACACGCACTTAACCGCTAAGCCACGGGGCCGGCCCCTCTTGAAACTTTTTAACTGAGCAACATTCTGGTCCAGCTGGGGACAAGGGAGCACGGATTCTGTCCCCAGTGGAGAGTGTCCCGAGAGCCACCCCAATTCTGGAGTGACGGCGACCTCTCAGAGGGAGCCAGGCTAAGCACAGGAGCCATGAGGGGATCTGTGAGCTGCCAGCACAGCGCGACCTCGTTCCAGTTAGAGGCTTACAGCAGCTTCCAAAAACAGAGCTGTCACCGTCCCCCCCAGACTGCCACAGGCCTGAGTGCTCACCGGGCGGGGTCACTGGAGCCTCCTCAAGGCTCTGCCGTGCAACAGAGGAGGAGACAATCTGCATTCCTCCGGCCCTGCCTGCAGCCACCCGAAACTGCTGCGTCTGAGCCGGCGATGTTGGGTCTGTGCTCAGGAACAGAAACACCCTAAGCAGCCCCTGAACTGGCCTCGCCCCCAGGGCCCGGGTGATGTGCCTCTGGGCAGTCCCGCCTAGGCCAACCACCCGAGGGCTGTGTCAGCTCATGGGAGGGCTGCCCCTGCCGCAGTGCGGGGGGCACAGATGTGGACTCGTGCCCGTGATTATCACTGCTACACGAGTAGTACGTGGTGTAGCTGGGACTTCAACCTGCGTGTCTAACTCCAGAACTGGTGCTCTTCAGCCCAGGGCGAAGTCCTGCCTGGGAAAAGGCGATGCCCGGCCACAGGAGCAGGGCGCAGGTGGTGGAAGATGACATGAGGGCTGGGAGAGCCCCCACGGAAGTGCATCAGCAGGACACGGGGAAACACTGGCCCGGGCCCAGGTGCAGCGGGGATGAACGGGCCCAGGGATCCACCCCCTCTGGCCCTCAGGGCTGTGAGCCCACCACCTCATCTGAGCCACACCTTCTGGCTTGAGCTGGGGTAGTTCTGTGAGGAGCAATTAACAGCCTGTTTCCCTGTTTCAAGGGAAAACAGGTCAAACCAGCTTTTCAGGACACAATACGTTAGCTCATCATTGGACGTAATGGTGCTCCCCCTCCATGCTTGAAATCGGACCAGGGAGTCGGGATCTGGTCCCGACCTGGCTTCTTTGCAAGGCTCAGGAGTCCTCCTCGACCCGTGGAGGGGCCGTGTCTGCTTCTCCTCCTGTGCCCCTCACTGGATGCCTTGGTTTCAGCAGTGACTAGCTGGGACAGCCACCACTGGTTCCAGAAGAGGCCATCTGGTGTCAACGGAGGTCTGTGAGAGCCTGGGAATTCTGCGTGCGGACATGCAGAGGCCAAGATTAGTGTGTCCAGACCTCATCTGGCAGGGTTCTATTGACTTGGGACCAGAGAGGCGTTTGAGGGTAGAAGTGAAATCCTCTAAGTAAACCTTGTCTGAGGGACTATTAAGCGACAGAGCAAACACTATACTAATTTTCCTGCCACACTAAACCTCCCGGAGGTGGCGGTGCCCGAGGAGGGCTGGTCAGCAAGGCAGGAGGCCGGCGAGGGGTGGCTGAGACCACGAGTTCTGTGACTTGGTACAACTTACTCTCCCTTCGTCCATCTCCTCCTTTGTGAGGAGACAATAACAAGATATTGTCCTCAGTTCTAACACCAATTTTCATCCTGTTTCCACTGCTCTCAAATTGGGGTGTCACTGACCTGGGGGCGACAGTGGCCAGGGGCTGTGCTGGAGGCGCTGGCAGCCTGCCTCAGTGTTGAAATCCGCACCTCCTTGCCCACCAAGAACGCGTCAGCTCTTCATGACTTTGCTGGCCATTCAGGTTTCCTATTTTGTAAATCCCCTATTAGGCATATTCTTCACCAAATTTTCTATTGACCTGTTTCTACTTAGATTTTTAGGAACTCTCTATATTAATTATATGGATCACAGACGCCTTCTCCAAAACACCAGCTTGTCTCTCTCCTTCGCTTATGACATCTTGTGTCAAAATTAGTTTTTAATTTTAAGGTAATTAAAATTATCACTCATGTCTTTTTTTTTTCTAAAGATTTTATTTATTTATTCCGCCCCCCCGAAAGCCCCAGTAGATAGTTGTCTGTCATAGCTGCACATCCTTCTAGTTGCTGTATGTGGGACTCGGCCTCAGCATGGCCGGAGAAGCGGTGCGTCGGTGTGCGCCCGGGATCCGAACCCCGGCCTGCCAGCAGCAGAGCGCGCACACTTAACCGCTAAGCCATGGGGCCGGCCCCAATCATGTCTTTTATACATTTTGAATTTAGTTCAAGAACTTCCCTACTCCAGCATCACTAAAGTATTCTATATCCTATTTTCTGAGTTTTAAAGTTTTGCTTTTTCACGTAAGTCTTGAATCCATCTGGAATTGAACGAAGGGTCTAATTTTGTTTTCTTCCATATAGGCGGCCAGTTGTCACAGAATGATGTTTTAAATAGGCTATCTTCTCCCCATTCATGGATACACCTCACATACCAAGTCCCCATAAATAGATCAGTACACTAATTGATTTCTGGCCTCCCAGCTGTTCATCTGTCCACGACCTCACAGCACAGCATGTCAATCACTGCAGCATTATAATAAACCTCCAACATTCTTTCAAGCTTTCTTGGCTTTGCTTTGTTCTCGATGCCTTTGATGTGATTAAGCCATCCTTACATTCCTGGGATATATTCTCTTTAGATAAAAAAAGTACTCCACAATCATCACTGGATTCAAGTTACTACTATTATTATTATTTTAAGCAGGATTTGTACACCTACGTTCGTCAGTGAGATCAGCCTGCACGACAGCAAGCTTATACCAGCTCCATGAGATCATAAGCAGTTTATCCTTTTCTATTTTCTGCAAGATTTATAAAAACAGGAATTTCCTGTTCCTTCAAGGTTTGATGAGATTTTAAAGTCAGTGCTGAGTTTGTGCATGTCTGTATGTCTGCCCATTCAGATGTTCTATTTTCTCTCCCATCAGCTTTGTTAGGCTGTCTTTTTCTCAAAATTATCTGTCTATCTCTTCACTTTATTCATATTCGCTTATGATTCTTAAAAATCTACCGATTTTCACATTACAGCACCTTTTTCATTTCTAAATACCTCACCCATTTTTCTTTATCAGTCTTGCCAGAGGTTTGTCTCTTTTATCAGCTTTCCAAAGAACCAGCTTTTGTCTCAGTCCATCTTTTCCATCGTTGTTTCCTATGTCATTAATTTTCACTCTTTCATTTTTGTGCTGAAATACATGTCTGCACACAAGTACAGAGAAAGAACTCTGGAAATATCCCCACCACCTTGAGACAGCAGGACAACAGTCACCTCTGAGGAGGAGGGAATGGGGAGGTGCTAGTGAGGACAACGGTCACTGTTTATTCCATAACCAGTACTATATCTTCTGAACTTTTGAAATGAGGATATATCTGTGCACTTTTTGTATAATTAAAAAAGAAATGACTAAAAGCAGGTCGACTGTGGCACTGAAATGACTTAGTTTGTGCAAAGAATTCAGAGAACACGACATACGGCTGCCTCTTCGCCATCTGGGCAGCTTTTCCATGACAAGAATAATTTCTCTTTCTCCCACGGTCCTAACATTTTTATTTGGATATTTTGTTTGGGAATCAAGACCTGCTTGCACTGCAGTTTAGTTTGACGGAACCTGATAATGACAGGAAATGACGTTTTATGGACTTAAAAACAAGCCTATATAATGACACCGCCACTCCCGAGCAGTCTGGGGCCTCGCTGCTGGCTCCTACGTCGGCACTGGCACCTCTGGTGCCCCGTGTATTCCACGCCGTCACTGCGGGCGGTGCAGCTGCTGCTGTTCAGCGTCTGACCTGCTGCTACAGCAGGACCTCCAGGGCCAGGGCGTTATGTTTTATTCGCTGATGTTTGCCAAACGCCCAGAACCACGCCAGGAATTGATGGTGGATGTAAAGATTCATCACAACTCAGTCCTTGCACGTGACTGAAGCAAACGGGGCAGTCATGAAGCTCTGTCACTGTTTCATCCGGAGTCTCGGCTCCTCCTCCTCGTCATTCTCGTCTCTGCAGCTCAGGCCTTCACGTGGCAGCCGGGACAGCTAGAGCCCCTCCCCGGTTAGGCTCTTCTCCCGCACGCGGGATGTCTCCATCCCCCTTCCTCTTGGGGGCTCCGTCCAGCCTGGCCTGTGGCGTGCCCACCCCCGAGCCCTCTCAGTGTCGGCACCAGAGCGCGAGGAGAGTCCCCGCTTCCGTCGTCTCTCCAGATCCTCCCCGTCCTTAACCCAGGTTCACTCTTCCATGAGGCACACACCAAGGTCTCACGTGGCTGTGGATTTGAACCCAGGCTCTGCCGAACACAGCCACGGGATCCAGGCCTTAAGTATCCTCATCTATAAAATGGACTCAAGGGCCAGCCCCATGGTGTAGTGGTTAAGTTCTCTCGCTCCTCTTTGGTGGGTGGCCCGGGTTCATGGGTTCGGATCCTGGGTGCAGACCTACACCACTCGTCAGCCACGCTGTGGCGTCCCACATACAAAATAGAGGAAGATGGGCACAGATGTTAGCTCAGGGCCACTCTTCCTCAGCAGAAAAAAAAGAAAAGAAAAGAGGAAGATTGGCAACAGATGTTAGCTCAGGGTGAATCTTCCTCAGCAAAAAAATAATAATAATAAAATAAAATGAAATAAAATGGACTCAATAGTCGGGTCCATGTGGTGCAGGTGTTCTGAGGATTCAACGAGAATGGACCGCAGTTCAGCCTGGAACCTGAGACGCACTACATGCTCACAAGGCAGAAGCTACAGCCGCACACCCCTCACGTCTTCAACACACAGCTCCCAGGGAGGGGGCCAGCTCTCCCAGCCGGTCCCGGGGCGGGTCTAGCCTGACTTAGGGAGGCATGCATGGGGTTGGGGGAGGACAGAAACGCAGTGCCAGGCACAGAAAGCGAGACTGACCCAGGCTTGTCCCCCTGCAGGGAGCCTGTGGCCTCCCCGTCCACCAGTCACGGGGACTTTGCGACTGTGCTTGCCCTTCAGGCCACGTGAGGCTCACTGTGACCATCACTGTGGTCACGGCTTGGGGGACAGAAGGTGGTATCTGCCCCATGTCCTCTCCCGCTGGAGGTGGCTCTGACCACGTCTTGTCCCAAGGTGGTCATACTCTGCAGCTCACAGTCTACACTGAGCATCACCCAAATCGGGGTTATTACTCAATGAATTATTAATTTGTAATTAATGAAAATAATGAATATTCACTAACAAATAGGAAGGTAGAAATGTATGAAAAGAATGATTTTCACCTTAATGATAGTAATAATAACAGCTGGCAATTATTTCCCTCTACCTGACCATTCATGAACTCAATAACACACACACACACACACACACGAGACCAGGTTAACCTCTCACTGATGTGTGGTCAGTAAACAAGGCAATCGGCCCCACGAGTCTCGACACAAATGGTAAAGGCCGAGCGACAGATGGCCGAGCACACAGTCTCAGCCAACCTCCAGCTCTGAGACGCAGAGCAAACACCACCGGGGCCTGAGGTGACCGCTGCTCCAGCCAGAGCCGGTCATCTCAGATCCTGTTCTCTTTAACACAACTGCAAAAAGATTTTAACCTCAACTCCCCGACAATTCAACTGTGTTTAAATTAAATCTTGACCCCCAGCTGAATCAGTCCGGTACCACCGGAAACAGGAACGTACAGGCATGCGGTAGGAGTCAACGTACCAGGCAGTATCCTTCCAACAAGAGCATCTAAGAGCCAAAAGGATTCTTCTTCGTTCTTTGTTATCAGAATCAGATATCCCGCTATGAAGTTCATGCCCTGCAATTAGAAAATGAGAGACAAATTCACGTCGCGTGTAGCCACCGCAAGGTCTCCGATTGTCTGGCTGCCACTGATCTTCCACGTCTCTCACCCTCCCCTGAAACCTGCATAATTCTAGAATTTTAGTAAAACTCCAGAGACACGAAGGAACTGCCATCTAGTGATGCATCTAATCAAGCCCATGTGAAGGGAAGAAAAGGAAAATGGTTAAAAGAATCTGAATACTGAATACTGCCTTAGAAAACCTCTTCAAGGAACAGTCCCCTTATGCTAAAATACAACTTACGAGTGGTTTCTAAAAAAGATTGCTCTGATATGTACTAACAGCAGGAAACTCCATAGCAGAAGGGAAACTAGACCAGTGACCACATTTCATAACAGCCATAAGTAACACAGTCTGACACAAGGGGTGGGGAAAGAGAGTGTGGATGGAGGCTGTTTCAGGGAATTCTCGTCGCACTTGCCAAAGGGCGGATGTTGCCAAAACACTCGAAGTGTGTGACTCAGCTGAGAGAAGCAGCTAGAAGCAGCTAGAAGCAGCCGAGGGCCGGGGGCCCAACCACGGTGAGCTACTGTCACTACTGTCACCTCTGTCACCTCCGGGCGACTGGGTTTCAGACGCTTCTACCTTCTGCTTTTTTTGCTGTCTGTATTTTCTAAAATAAATATGTACTTCTCTAGTAATAAGGGAATAATCCAGCTTTTGTCAACCTACAAGTATGGACACAGAGACACTACAGAGGGAGAACGCCATGTGAAGATGGGGGCAGAGACTGAGCCTAGGCTCGGCAGAGGCCACCCGGAGCTGGGAGGGCCTGGAGGAGTCTCTGTCACGGCCTCAGGAGGAACCAGCCTGCCCACACCCGGCTCAGACTTCCAGCCTCCAGACGTGACACACCCAATTCCCAGTGTTTACGGCTCTCAGCCTGTGGTCCTGTGTCCCGGCAGCCCCAGGAAACTAAGACATGTGCATCTGTGTGTATAAATATGTGTACATACATATGTGCGTGTATAATCTGAAAGCCAGCAGAGCTCTGGCATCATGCCAATATTTAAAATTGTGGGGTTTCTTTTTCAAAGCTGTTTGTGCGTGTGTGTGTGTGTGTGTGTGTGTGTGTGTGTGTGTGTGAGGAAGAGTGTCCCTGAGCTAACATCTGTGCTAATCTTCCTCTATTTTGTGTGCGGGTTGCCTCCACAGTGTGGCTGATGAGTGGTGTCAGTCCCTGCCTGGGATCTGAACCCAAGAACCCGGGCCGATGAAGAGGTATGCGCCGAACTTAACCACCACGCCGCTGGGCCGGGCCCCTAAAGCTATTTTTAAAACCAACAAGAACAGTAACTAGAGTAATCTAGACAGTTTCTCGGCCATCCTGCCCTCCCCACCAAAGGCTGAGTCCTTGTTCCTGGACGTTAGGTTAACGACGGTAACAAAGCCCAGAATCAGGACTTGTCTGGGAGAACGGGCCGTCCCAGCTTCACCTGTCTGCAGGCGCCCCCACAGGGGACAGCACCATGAAAACACAACCTGACGAGTTACTCGGGGACACGAGCAGGTCACTACGCTTCTTTGCAGCTGGTCTTTTCAAAAGGATCCGCCTCACTCTCCCCAGGCTCCCCCTTTCGTCTCGACCCAGGAACAATGCCACGTGCCAACCACGCGGGAACACAAGCTGCCAGACGACCCCCGCTGCGCCAACTCTGTCCAAGCCTCACACAGGACCCGGCGCCCTCAGCTCCTGTCTGTGACGAACCCCTCACCCGTGCCTGGAGAAGGACGCCCGTCACTGTGGTCTCACTCCCCGTCCGCTCCGGACACCTCTGGACAAGCCTCGACTCTGGGAGCACTGGCCGTCTGCAGCTCAAACGCACGGAGAGCCACCGCCACCCGCGACAGCGTGCGCCTGTGCTCATGGCCACGGTGACGGGCAGCACCCCGGGAACGGGAGTGGCAGCTCCTGCCTACACCCTGCCTGGCACCCTCGGCGGCCTCCCTCGAGCTGACTCAGAAACGGCCCACCTGGCGGGAAGCCCAGCCTGTCACCTGCACGCCCCCCAGAGAGCTCGACTCTCCCTGCCAGGCTCCGCCTGCATCCCCAACATGAAGAGAAGTGTCCCCGTCACGCGCTCCAGGCTGAGGGTATGGCAGGGAGGACAAGAAATGGTCCTCCTGCCTCAGCGCTGCTTCCCGAAGAAATCCCAGACAGGTGAGACCGGCAGGCGCGTAGGCCACTGTCACGCTACCTGCAGGGAGGTTGTGACTGCACGAAAGGACCTTGAAGGAACCCCCCCCAACATACACACTCATACTCTCACACACTTACACGCACACACACTCTGCACCATGGCGGAGGTGCTGGTCACTCTGTGTCCAGACAGCACAGCCCTGTGCTCCCTTGCATGACCTCCTACCCGCCTCCTCACCCCACACCCTCCCCCCAACACCAACAGAACCGTCATGGGTCCAGTGGCTTCTCTAGTGGGAACACTGAGTCACAGGCCGGCTGAGGGGTCGCTGGTCAGGGAGTCTCTGAACTGCGCTCATGGGGACCACCAAGGCCCCAGGACGACAGCCCTGTTATAAGTCTGTGGGTGTCCACCGTCATCACCCTCCCTGCTGGCGCCTGCTGACTGCAGGGGGCTCACCTGGCAGTACCCCACGCCTCGGTTGTGGCGCCCGTGGGCCAGCAGCACGTTGTACAGGGTCTTCTGTAAGCAGGGGTCGGCGCCCCTCCGGAAGTTCACATTATCCGGGAAGGTCCTGTTCATATCTGCAGGGAGGTGCTCGACAGAGTTATTCCAAAGGTGGAAACAGAAGACTGGTCTGTGAGGAACCAAAATCCTTCCCTGTCTACCCCTCAGGGAGGCCTGAGCCCCCACCGGTTAAGGGCTGGGCTCTGTCCACCTGTGAGGAATGGCTTCCACCCAGGTATGTGCTTGAATCACACAGAAAGGCTCCACAGCAACCAGTGCCTGCAGCCTCCACTGTCAAGGCCGAGAGCGGCTGGAGGCAGGAGGCAGGAGGGGGCGTTCCCTGGATGCTGTCCTGCTCCAGCTACGCTCGGGAGGATGTGGCGGGTCCCAACAGCCATTTTTCCCAAATCAGTGCTGGCGAGTGGGCTCCTCCGACCTGACACCGGCCCTGCAGGGCCCTGACACTTCCTCGCTTCCCTCCACTGCGCAGACCCGCCGGCCCCTCCACCCTCACACCTCCCTCTTAGCTGGGCGGGCTTGACTCTAGGACCACGGGTGACAGGTGAACAGTTTACACAAAACTTTGGAATATTTTCCCAATTCTGTAGATCTAAAATGTAACGAGGCAGAACACACCGCGATGCCTTCTCAGAGATAAACAGACAGAACCGCAAACTAACAACGAAATAAACTCAGCACTGCCGGGCTTTGTCTGCAGGAGGGCTCCCTGGCCAGCCTCTTCCTGCTTGCCAGACACCTGCTTCCTCGGCCCGTCCCCTCCCGCCCGGCCCAGCCCAGCCATTCTGTACTGACACTGGGCGACCTCACCAGAACAAAACCTTGCCTCACACCAACCTCACGCCTGACTTTTTTTTTTTCCCTTTGCTGAGGAAGATTAGCCTTGAGCTAACATCTGTGCTCATCTTCCTCTATCTTGTTTGTGGGACGCCTCCACAGCATGGCTGCGTAGGTCCCCGAGCCCGGGATCCGAACCTGCAAACCCCAGATCACCAAAGTGGAGCGTGAGAACTTAACCACCATGCCACCAGGCCAGCCCCACGCCTGACTTTTTATTTATTTATTTTTTTTTATTTTTTATTATTTTTTTTTTTTGGCTGATTCATTTGTTTACTTGGCCAAATGCAAGCCTCCAGAATTATGATTTTTTTTTTTTTAATTTTTTGTTTATTGCAGTAACATTGGTTTATAACATTGTAAAAATTTCAGGTGTACATCATTGTACTTCTATTTCTGCATGGACTACATCATGTTCACCACCAAAATACTAATTACAACCCATCACCACACACATGTACCGAATTATCCCTTTCAGACGCCTGACTTTTTAGAGCTCAGTTTTGTATGTTACCCCTGCAGACGCGTGGAAGGGGACAAAGATGTGTGTCAGCTGAAACAATGACACCTTTTTCTGATCCTAACGACCCTCCTTAGATTAGTGTTGTGTGTGTCACTGTCCTGCCTACCATCACCGAAATGCATTGGGACCCCCACTCACACATGTGGATCTGAAGATAGCACACCCCCCGAGCTCACTGTCGTGCTGTAAGAGGAGCATACCCGAGCTCTCCCCTCTGCCTAGGGAAATCCTGCCTCTCCTCCAGCACTGACGCCTGCACAGCCGCTGGAAACGCCGCGCCAGAATTCTCTTCCCACCTCCAGCCCAGGCCCAGCCTTTGCGCGTAGAGAACCAGGTCTGAGCAGAATAGGAAGCTTCGTGCCTCCAAGCACATTATTTTTCATGGTATGTTTTTTCACAAAAATATTTTTTCTCTGCAATTCTAAACATTCCAAAAACTGAAATCGATCAGGAGGGAATAAGAGTGTTTTTTACTAATTCAGACTAGCGTGACCAGCCCTGCTCATTCCTACATAATATATTTTATTATGAGAAGTTTCCCCGCGTTTGAAATCTCTCTACCTCCCTTCTTCCCATCGTGGAGGTGGCTGTGGACAGGGACGTTCAGTCTACGGTTACATGGCATGACCCATCCACTCTACTGTCCCTGTAGAATGATGTACCCAAATTCCTCAAAAGAACAGACGTGGAATTACCAGTGACCCAGCAATCCCACTTCTGGGGGTACCCCCAAAGGAACTGAGAGCAGAGCAGCATTAGTCACAACAGCCAAAAGGTGGAAGCAATCCAGATGTCCATCGATGGATGGGTAAACAAAATGTGGTCATCCACACACTGGGATCTCATTTGGCCTTAACAAGGAAGGAGACCCTGACACCTGCTACAACACGGATGGACCCTGAGGACATTATGCCGAGTGAAATAAGCCAGACACAGACAGACAAATACTGTGTGATTCCACTCATACAAGGGACATCCAGCCATCAAGTTCACAGAGACAGAAAGTAGACGGTGGTGCCAGGGGCTGGGGGTGGGGGAGGGAAATGGGGAATTTAATGGGGACAGAGTTTGTTTGGGAAGATAAAATGGTAAATGTCATGTTACGTATATTTTACCATAATAAAAAAAATATCCAAAAACGCCAGCACTAAACAGAGGCTTTAAACTCATTTTCAAACAAACAGCAACATTCTATTTTATTTCACACGCTCGGCCTCCCTTGGTCCCAAGGTCTCTTCCCAACCTGAATCAGCATTTCTGGCCCCAGGAGGGACGCCTCAGGCTGGGCCTTCAGCTTCTGTTCTGAGACCTTGGCAGAGGTCTGCTGTGTGTCCGGATGCAGCCACCCAGCTCAGCTGGCCCCAGCCCTCCCCACCGGCTCCACCCCGGGGGATAGGAGACCCCCAGGGGCTGCCAGCGAGGGCTGAAGGCCCCCTTTCCTTATGTTGAGGGCATACCACTCTCTCACTGTCACAAGTCAGTCAAACTTCTCAGAACTTAAAAGTAATAGGATTTTTTTTTAAATTAAGTATTTGTGGGCTGGCCTGGTGGTGTAGTGGTTAAGTTCACATGCTCCACTTCAGTGGCCCAGGGTTCACGGGTTCGGATCCTGGGCACAGACCTACACACTGCTCATCAAGCCATGCTTTGGTGGCGTCCCACATACAAAATAGAGGAAGATGGGCACAGATGTTAGTTCAAGGCTAATCTTCCTCACCAAAAAAAAAAAAAAAAAAAGGAAAACAAAATTTAAGTATTTGTATTTCTCAAAAACTGTTAAAATCAGAAAGGCAGAAGTATTTCCTAAAAATCTAATGACTCAGTTTAGGTTAAACACTTTTTTGAGCACTCTGAACCTCAAGAGCCAGTGAGCCTACGTGACTACTGAGGAAAGTGGAGGAAAAAGAAGTTAGATGCCCAAAATATCAGCGTCCCTAGACGATAACTAGAGTTTGACACAAAGAAAGAAAACACTGGTGTGTGGCCTTACCACACCTGAGCAGGCGTCAGCCCACTCTTGTCATTCTAGGCGAGAACCCCTACAGTGACTACCTGACCGCACAGTCACGGCTCGCTCGGCCGCCTCCTCTGTTCCTTGAGGGATTCTCCATGGAAGAAATCGGTCTCTCTACGACCATTTCCTTACTAGCCAGCTGGGTGCTCTCAAATATTTGCTGAAGGAATTAAAACACTGTTCTTTCCTAATGAACACAGTTTTTTTTTTTTTTTCCTGTGAGGAAGATCAGCCCTGAGCTAACATTCATGCCAATCCTCCTCTTTTTGCTGAGGAAGACCAGCCCTGAGCTAACATCTATTGCCAATCCTCCTTTTTCTCCCCAAAGCCCCAGTGGATAGTTGTATGTCATAGTTGCACATCCTTCTAGTTGCTGTACGTGGGACACGGCCTCAGCATGGCCGGAAAAGCGGTGCGTCGGTGCGTGCCCGGGATCTGAACCCGGGCCACCAGCGGCGGAGCGCGCACTTAACAGCTAAGCCATGGTGCCGGCCCCCTGAACACTTAAGTTTTGATTTTCCTTTGAGAAAAATATAATTTCAAATTGCAACCAGCTGGTGCATCTTCGACAAAGCAAGCTTCTCCACCAGCATCACGATCTTGAAGACGGGGTGCACACACAATTCCTCCCTCGGGGGGTGCTCCCCCGCCCCTTGGCTCAGCCGCCATCACCTGAGGGACGGACATGCCTCACCTGTCCTGATCGCCTCCTCCAGGCTGTCATTCCTCTCTCCCTGGAGAAGCCGGTGGTAGTAGCCGGGGTTTCGGTCCATCTGGGCCTGAGCCCCGCTCACCCCCATCCAGACTCGGGCCCGGTGCTCAAGCGGGACGCCTTTTCGGATATAGCGCTTCACTGAAACCGAGAAAGGGCCACTTCAGGGGGACGGACGAGGCTCTCCTGAGGCCAGAACCTCGGGGAGGGCCCGCCAAGCCAACAGCACTACCTTCAATGCTTTTAGCTTTCCCCACTTCTCCCCCTGAACAGAACATACAAAAGATGCAAAACTTCACACACCTCCATCAAAACTGGTACGTACGCTCGTTACAGAATTTGCTCTCCTCCCAAGAGCACAGTCGGGCGGGCTCCAATAACCCCTGTACTCCACTTCCCCATCAGCGCACAGAGCTGACGGACCAGGGGCTGCGCAGTTCACCCTCTGGTCCTCCCTCGCCCCGCCCAGCAGACCATGCGAGACACTGTGGACTGAAGGCGGGTTAGCCCCTGACCGGCCTCAGGCTCCTGGTCTGGGGGGCCACTCGACCAGGTGTGGCCCAGGGTGCTGAGAGTGGAGCTGGTGATGGCAGAGACACTGCACACGGGAGGGACAGGAGCCACGCTGAGTGAAGGGACATGCAGCAGGAAGAGACTCCCCGTGGTCCCGGGGAGCCGCAGCAGGGCAGTGAGGGCTGGAGGGACAGCTGTGGGCAGGGGCAGACCTGGAGCCCTCGTGTGCCAGACTCAGGCTTGGCCGCGTGGTCCTGCCCTGGAGGTGACAGGGAAACAGCAGGGCCCGAGGTCCTGGGTGTTCTGGAAAGCTCTCTGCAGCCACACAGAGGACAGATGGATCGTGAGAGACCAGCGAGGCCAGGCTGAGCAGGAGACAGCGGCGTCGGGGCCACGGGCTGTGTGACGTGCGTGGCTGGACGCGGGCGGCTTCAGCCACAGGTGTCCTGGTCCTGTGTGCAGCTCATCTCTGTAAACCGAGAACTGCCGCATCTGGGAGGGGTATTTTTACTGATAGTAAATATGTGAAAGGTAATCAGTAATTTTCTAACGACCACAGAAACATATAGGAAAAGAAGCCAAAAACCACGTGTTTCCTCAGTTAACCACTGTTCCGTAATCTCCCAGGCAGATGCGAAAGACCTGTGAGGCTAACGTTCCAGTCAATTCCAGTCAGCCCAGGGGCCGCCTTACGCTTCTAATGACCTTAATTTAACCCTCAAAACAGTTCATTTTCAAAGCACATATTCAAAGCTTAGTTGTTTTCCTTGGATATTATACTATAAATGCCATTATTTTAAAAGAGACCACACTCCAGAAAAAAATAAAAGCACACACAATTAGTGAAATTCCACAAGCTGCTGTAAAAAGAAAAAATCAGAGGCACTAGCTGCGTTTAACAGAAAAAAATTATAGGAATAACATTACAGGTTACAGTTGAGAAAAGCACTATCGATAAAACCTTACTAACTCAAACGCCGAGGCTACCAGAACTGACGGTCGTCCGTTCGTGAGCACCTTAAATGCAAGCCCCGCAGGCCACGCCTCATGCACCTGCCACTCCTTGAGGGGCACGTGGGGCAGCAGGAGCACACTGTGTATGTGCAGAAGGACGCAGGGGTGACGAGGGAAGAGCTGGAGGAGGAAAGAACAGACACCAGCACCATCCGCCACAAAGGAAATCTAAGAAACCCTCTGCTGTCTAGAAGCACATCAGAGGATCACGTCTTGGCAAGAACATCTCTTTTTTTTTTTTTTTTTTTTTTT